TCTCTCTCTCTCTCTCTCTCTCTCTCTCTCTCTCTCTCTCTCTCTCTCTCCCCTTCATGCACATATGGGAGTTCATGTATCATATGTAATTGTTATCTAACTTTTTGCATTGCCTTTTATTTTATTTTATAGGCCAACATTTTATAGAATTTTCAAGAAAAAATCAACAGAAGGGTTCCAGTCCATACCTTATTCGGTGGCTCTGTTTAGCGCCATGCTTATGCTCTACTATGCCTTCCTCAAGACCAATGCTTTTATGCTCATCACCATCAACTCCGTTGGTTGCATCATAGAAACCAGTTACCTTGTAATGTACATGATTTATGCACCAGCAAAAACCAGGGTACATACTTTCTAAATTTATAATGCTCTCTCTTCTCTCTATCTCTAATATATTCATTTCTTGTTCATCTTTAATTTTTTATAATTTGCAGATTTACACAGCAAAGCTTCTTGTCCTGTTTAATGTGGGGGTTTATGGTGTGATCATATTGAGCACCTACCTAATTCCAAATCATTTTCTGCGGATTAAAGTTGTTGGGTGGATTAGTGTCGTGTTCTCTGTCTCTGTGTTTGCCGCTCCTCTGAGTATAATGGTAACAATATTGCTTATTTATTTCATGCCAAATCAAACACTATATTCTTGACAGATCTAAACACACAATTGATTATCTCCTGCTATATTTTCAGAGGCTAGTTATTAGAACGAGGAGTGTGGAGTTCATGTCCTTCCCTTTGTCATTCTGCTTAACTCTCTGTGCTGTAATGTGGTTCTTCTATGGCCTTCTAGTGAGGGATTTGTTCATAGCGGTAAAACTTGTCATCATATATATATACATGCAGAAACACAATATATAATGCAATATAATTTGTCCAAGTTTTAAATCTATCTGCCTTGTTTTCTTCCATGTTTAGGCACCAAACATCCTCGGTTTCGCATTCGGGTTAGCGCAGATGATTATGTATCTGATGTTCAAGAACTCAAAGAAATCTGTGTTACCAGAATTTAGCCTCAATCAGATACCAAATGTGGTTGCAGTAAATGACATTGTAGCAAGTGACAGTCAATTGAAAACAGAGGACACAAAGAAGAGTTCTGAAGCTGAGGAGAATCAGTCAACAGAGAGCATGACAAATGATAGCAGGGCTGAAGATGCAGCTGCCGATGAGCCAAATGAATCAATTGTGTGATCATCTAGAATAGACCAAATGAGCCAAGTGAATCAATTATGTGATTGCCTAGGGTTGGCACTGTGGATATTGCCAATTAGTATAGCTTTTATTATTATTATTATTATATTTATTTATTTTCTATAACCGATATTGGAGGGAATCGAACGGTAGACATCATATTCACATGTAGCTGTTGTTCTTGTTCTATTTCTCCATGATTGTCTTTTTCCCTTGCTCATACCTTATTTGGTTTATTCTTACATGTGGGCTTTCCCACCAGAATGAATGAATACTACAAATAGAAAGGAGAAAATCTAGTCTAATCACAATTGTAGCGAAACAAAAATGAAAATGCAATCCAATTGATGCTTGCAAATTTATCTATGAAGTAGATAGACACGCATGCCAAACATTATATTGCTTCCTACTACATGAATTCAATCACTTGCGACAATTACATTCTTCAAATTTGAAAGTTCCCCAATGATCATGCATTCGTTTATTAAGAGAAAAACTTAACTCGAACTATCATATCACTTCATCATGCTAAAATTATGAGTTTAACCACTCAAATGAAGTCATTTTCTTTTATGAGTAATTAACTTATTTTATCAATGAAGAGTATGGAGGATTTCGAAGATGGTATCTTTTTCAACATTAGAAAGAAAAATACCAATAGATTAAGAGCGAATTAGTTTTCTTATTACTATACTTTACTTTCTACTTTTAATACATGACATATATTGCAAAAATAATGTAAATATTTTTATTTTTATTTTTATTTTTATTCCCATTAATACTACACCACAGTTTGTTGTCTGGACTCCTTACTCCTGGAAAAAAAAAAATTTAATTTAATTTTAACTGATTTATTTATTTTACAATTTGTCATATTTGCTTTTGTTATAGGCTTTACAAAACGTCCCTGACGTTTGTGAAACTATCAGATTGCATCCTTAAAGTTTTTTTTATCACTTATGGTCCCTAACGTTAATATGGGTGCTCTTAAATAGTCCTTATGTCAAAAATTTTGTTAAATCTAGGGGTATAATCGTCGTCCCACCAAAGGGATATCTAACTTACCAAAATTCGAACCAAAAAAAAAAACTTCCCCAAAAAAGTGAGCAAGCTCAATCCAAAACAAAAAGATGAGAGCTTGCTCTGTTGAGCTTCAGACTTTCCTCATCCCCAACAAACCCACAAACCCATCTCTCCTCCCCAACTCATCAAACCCCACTCTCACTCTCAGACTCCACCTGACCCACAAACCCAAAAACCCAATTTTTCACACGCCCTCCAAAACCCATCACCCCACCTTCACCATCCCCTGTTTTCCACACCACCCAACAACCCTGCACCTCCGCCAGACCACCAATCGGAGCAATTCAAAGCTGCCCAAGATGCTTTTTGGGAGTTTCTTCAAGAATGTGGGGTTTCTGAGACAGAAGCCGCCTTTGTTTCGTCGAATTCGCCGAGGTATTTGCGGATGTTGGTCGATGGGGTTTTGGAGTTGGATGAGCTTGGGCTGTGGAGAGAGCGGGAGAGAAAGGAGGGAAGAGAATTGGTTGGGTTTAAAGAAAAGGTGAGGTATTTAGCCAAGGAAAAAGGTGACAATGGAAAAGTTGCATTTTTGGAGAGTGTGGTTGGGTTGAGTCTGTCTTCAGCTATGAATCTTGCCAAGCATTTATCAGCAGAGACACTTCCGAGACTCGTTGAGAAGGTAAAGGCATATATATTTATATTATAATTTTGGATTGATTTGACGATTATATCCTTGAATTTAACAGTTTTTTTTAACAGAAGGACTATTTAAGAGCATCCATATTAACGTTAGGGACCATGAGTGATACAAAAAAAATTTAAGGATGTAATCTGATAGTTTCGTAAACGTTAGGGATGTTTTGTGATAAAAAGCCTTTGTTATATAAAGTAAAAGTACCCAATAATATCTACGAGCCCCGCCTTGCACAGTTGCACTAAAGTACTTTTACCAATCCTGCAAATTAGGGTTTCCAATTCCTCCGCTTTAGTCCTTAATCTTTATCACCGTTTTGGCCGAATTTGCCGTATTTCTGCATCAGTTTCTCAATATTTTCCCCATTCCTTTCCGTCATGAAGAATCGATACCCAAAAGAAGAAGGAAACAGGGAGAAATTCAACGGCTCGACATCGATCAACAAAAAGAAGGATATCATGAAGAAGAAGAAGAAGAAGAACATGAGGAGAATGGGTGGGCAAGGCCTTTCACTCGAGGCTTTCGCCAATGCCAAATCAAATAGCAGCAGCTACTTCAATCCTGCTTTGATAAGTATAAAGCCCCCTCCTTTAATTGCATTTTCATTATACCTTGTTAAATATTTGCTCTTTACTTGGGTTTTAGTTTTTCTCTGTTTCTGTTTCAATGTTTTCCTGTTTATATGATCATCTTTTACTTTTTTCTTGCCGGGAAGGATCTATTTTGCCATATTTATAATGATTCTAACAAACAGGTTGGGTTGTGTTTTCTGTCAGAGAAGCAAAAGGAGTTTTACAAGAATTCCAAGTATGTGAACAAGTATAAGAAGTCACTAAAGCAACAGCAGAGCAATCTTCCATTGGCTATAAGACCCCTTGAGGTTTGATTTTTAGCAATGTTTTATTGCGTCTTCTTTAGAAACAGATTGAGACAAGATTAGCATTGTAAATAATATAATAAACCAATTGAAATCCTATTGTGAAACACAATTTGCAGCTTGAAATTTTATTTCATTTATCTTTTTGGTGGGTGGTACAGGAAGAGAATGAAACTGAACACGGTGATAAGAAGGATAATGAAGCTGAAAATGGTAGTAAGAAACATAATGAAACTGAAGATGGTAGTAAGAAGGAGAACGAAACTGAAGATGGTGGTAAGAGGAGTAAGAATAACAACAAGAAAAAGAGGTATGGTGCTCGTAATTTAATAGAAGTGTATGAGAAGAAGCATGAAGAGGAAGAGAAGGCAAGAAGGGAGAGGGATGCGATTATTCAGGCAAAGAAGGAAGAACGAGAAAAGGCCGAAGCTCGGAGGAAGTCTGTGAGGGGGAAGATGCTTAAGAAAACACATAAAGGTCAGCCTGTTATGAAGTACAGAATTGAACATCTTTTGGAGACACTTCAAGGTTCTGCAAAGGAAACATAGTTTGTGAAAATTCCGAAATGTTTGATTTTTGGATAATTGTAATGTTGCTGATTGAATTACTCAACTAACCTTGATAAGGGCAATTCCAGTTCCTCAAGCAAATGTAAAACCATTTTGATATCGTTAAGGTGCCAAATATGTTCTATCTACAGATTATTGTTCTGGTAGTTCTTTTCAGCATTTGCTGTGACCATTTAAATGCTCATTGATTTCAATTATTTTCCCAAGCATAGCTCTCTCTTGGGAGAGGATTAAAAATTTCGAAAACTCATGCCTCAAAGTTGAAAAAAAAAAACCTTATTTATTACTGAAGGACAAACATAGGCTACATTATTATCAGTTGACACCATGGTTCTAAACAAAAACGCATATAAACACTCATCTAGCTGATACAACTTGACTGAACCAGCCATACACCGAGCAAAATGCCACACGAGCACGTGCCGAAATGTTTGATCAAGAAAAATTGTAAGCGGATGCGATGCACAGCAATTACAGAGTACTTCGGACGTGGTTTAATGATGAACATGAGAGTACGAGAGCTATATCAAGTGCCATTAGAAGTCCCATAAGATCCAAACTGCCTTCATGTTGTTCTGAGCAAACCAACTTCCCCATCACCTAACTTCGAAGTTTGAGCCTCCTCGGCAACAATTATTTATCAGCCAAAAGGGTGAAAGAAAGAATGACAAAAGCCAGAAACTCGCGCCTGTATTTGAAACGAGTCTTCTGGTTCTGGGAAAGTTCTAGTATGTCTTAGAAACCAAGAATATAGCATCCAACACTATAAGGCTTGCTCCAGGAGCTTCGTCAGAGTCCAAGTATTTTGGGGTCTACTTGTACTAAAAAGTCCAAGTATGGTTCCATATCCATGCCGATTTCCCAAACTAAGCCTAGCCCATTTCTTTACTGGCCCTTGGCATTGTCAGGAACCCATATTCTGCCCCCACAGAAATCTGCTAAAAGGGTTTTTGTCTTTTTCTTAATAGTCGATTATAGGATATGATATGATGAAGTTGGATTAGCAGAATATGATATTTGAAACGAAGATCTTAATCCTTGATTATGTTTTCATTTTTGTTTAGTTTTAGGGGACTGATAATTAAGTTTCATCCTCATTTTTGTTTAGTGTACTACTAGCCACCCCTACCTGCATTTATGTTTGTTGGGCAACAAGGATCTGAATTGTACAATGCAGGTTCACTTATTTCGTACAAACTTTAACTCTGAGAGAGAGAGAGAGAGAGAGAGAGAGAGAGAGCTGGGACCAAGGCAGGACACACTGAAGGATTGCAGAACTTTAACTCTCTTTATAATGATGCATACGGTATGAGGTCAGTGAGTGAGTTTACTTTGATATATCATGATGATATAGGTGAGGTCTCGAGGTTGGGGGGTGAAACAGTAAAATCAGAGTGAGTGAGTGACGAAATCAGCAAAAGAATTATAGTAAGGAAGGAGGGGGAGGGGGAGGAGGAGGAGAGAATAAAAATGATGATGATCATCAATACCCTCAAACGTGTGGCCATCATCAACCAATAAAGTGTCTGCAAATTTGATTGCCCCACATTCCACACCACACTCAATTCTCATCTCAGCTCAGTCATTCACCAACTCTTTTTCTTTTTTTCTTTTTTTTTTCTTTTTGGAGTCAGTTTTTCAGTATGTGGTGGGGCGGGGGGGTGTCTGTGTTATGTTGTTTTCAATCTATCTGTCCTTGTTATCTTTTTTTGCGTTCTCTCTCTCTCTCTCTCTCTCTCTCTCTCTCTCT